TCTACCCAAAAAACGTACCATAATTTCTGCCGCGTCAGTAGTCATAGGAGTGTCATCCTTCTTCGTATGTGTCATGTCGAAGAGTTGGATTCGACCAACTTTAGAACCGGATGTATTTTCCTACAATGTACCATAATATAATTACTATGAGTTAGTATGTACATGGAATACAAAAAATATTTCAATAATCTATAATACCTCCCATGAGCTATACCAAGCAAACTCTTCGATCCAGCCGTGTGCGTAAACTTTTGTCGTTGCCTGCTAGCAACACCAATATGCTCTCGGTCCTATAATGTCAAACAACCACTTTTAATGATGATTTACAATTCGTTACAATTATTTCTGAAAAATACATCATACTTGTCCTTTTTATGAACTCCAAAATCTGACTACATCTTCCCATTGGTACCTGAGCATTCTTGGTGGGACTGTTTGCAACTTCTCTTCAAGGATGAGATCATTCTTGAAGTATTTCTTCTTTAAGGAGCTCTTGTGATCCCTCCATCTCTTCCCTAACGTTTGCTTCACATAATCGTCAGAGACCTCTAAAGAAAATTTCTCTTATATAGCAAATAAGTGTACACCGTAAGTATAAATTAGTATTGAATTTCTATAGAGTATGTATTATCATGACATTATTACCTTAACAAAATCCAACGCTTGATTTTTGTTACTATTAGGCATTTCGCACCATGACTCGTAATTGATCGGTAACAGATTCGCATTACGTCCAACTATGCCTAAGTAACCTGCTAGAAGACGTGATTCTGGGTCAATAGGTTGACCGACATCGTTTCTCGAAACTTTGACACAATGCCCAGGAGGAAGTTGGTATAATTCCTTCAAAGTTGTACGTCCTCTAGTCTTGCGCGTTCTAGCATTTTCAACTATATAAGAAATTATTAAATTCCATTTTTGAAAATGAACAAAGTAGTAAATAATGTTTTGAATATTACTTTGAATTTCTACGTCTTCTTCAACAGTTTCCGGAACTTCGGAAGACTCAGGTGCATTCGATTCCTCGTTATTTCTTTCTTCATGGTCTTTAGAAGCTCGAACAACCAACATATCATTTATTTTTCTCCTCAGCATGATATCTATAATAAACAAACATGAGTAATAAAAAATATGAATTAATTAATGAATATATTGAAAGACAACATGTTAAAGGTTATAACATTATAAATAAATAATGAATATATAAAATCGTACAAGTCTTATATAATGTCAGTTGTCATAAATCTTCATCAACGTCCTCCCGAACCCATTTAAATTGTGTTGTGTTATTGATAGTTTCATCTAAGTTTTGTGGTAGTAGAGGTAAACTTTCTGATCTTGTTTCAATGTCATCTCTACTTCCATCCCCGATGTCTATCAAGTCTCTGGGAGTATTTCGAAGCACAACATACCAACCGTCATTCATTGGATCGTGACAATAAAATACTTGTTTCACTTGAGAAGAAAATACATATGGTTCATCCATCAAACGTTGACCCGTGTGAATTAATCGAGAGAAATTCACCATTGTAAACCCGAATTTATCTCTTTTTATACATCTTTTTACATCAACCCAGTCACTCCGAAACAACACAACCTTTCGTTTTCCATAATAATCTAACTCAATAATGTCCGTAAGATTTCCATAATAATCGACCTCTCCCTCTTGCGGATTATTGTCCCTTACAGTAGCATAACTTGTAGTTGACGAAGTAACTACGACTCCACAATTTTGTGTCCTTCTTAATCTTTCACGAGATTTTGTATGGAACCTGAACCCATTAATGAGGAAGGCATTATATCTTTTAACTATTCTATTCGGACCTTGAGAAAGCCATTTAACTTCTTCACTAACTTCTCTCCCACTCCAAACCTATTACACATGAATGGTGAATTAATTTGTATTGACGTCGATACAAAAAGCAAGACGTATATAATTTATAATTGTTCCGTAAGATTTAGTTGCTTACCATCTGGCCTAACCATTCATGAAAAGTTTCTGTGAATAACTTATGTAGCTCTCGCTGATTTAATCTTCGGGAGCGTGCTCTAGATCTCAATACTTCTTTAAACTCACTATAAAGAATATTATGTCGTTAAAAATTGATAAATATAAAAGATAAAGAGATTTCATTAGGATTGGGTCCGAAAGACTTACGTGCGAAAGGGATCTATTGAATCGTGATGGAAAAGAATATATCGGTGTCCTTGTACCCAAGACGTGTCATCTAAGTGTTCAATTTCAACTTTCCCTAATGGTTGACCATAACTTCCAAAGAAATAATGTTGAGGTAAGTCATCAGTACTTAACACATCATTTCGATTTGGTCTATTCCATCTTGTTTCAACATCTTCCAAATATCTAGAGCAAAATGTCATACATTCCTCTGCCAAATACCCTTCAGCAATTGATCCTTCCGGATAACGCTTATTACGACAATAAGACTTCGACTTGCCCAAAAACCTATACACAAAACAACATATTACGTAAATAAATTTGAGTGAGAGGTATAATCAGTAGTAATTTGAAACGTGTAATTCAAATAACACCTCTCTATAGGGTACATCCATCGATAGAAAACTGGACCACCAACTCTTGCTTCGTGAGGAAGATGAATTAGCAGATGCACCATAATTGTGAAGAATGAAGGTGGAAATATCTTCTCCAAGTTGCATAAAGTCAAGGCGACTCGATCTTGTAGTTTATGTAAAACATTCAACATGAATGACAACTGACAATCAGTTTCAGGTGAATATGAAACAATAAGATATTCGTTACAAACCAACTTTATTATAAAGCATTTAAATTACCACGTCAACTTTTTTTAACCAACGTACATGAAAGTTGAAACCCCAATACAAATGGTAATCTAATTTTTTTAATATTTATTTATTTTATTATTTGTATTTATCTGAAATTTTATTTGTATTTGTTATGTACAAAATTTTATGGTACTTAATATATATATGTGTTTAACCTAAAAAATATTTCTAAACCTGCTGCTTGACAATTCGACACTAACAATCCCAGGAGAAGCAGAACCAAAAGGAGAACTGCCTTCATGGTTACCCTAGAAAATTGCCAAGAAAAAGCTACTGAATTCAAATGTAATATATATATATATAGCCACACCATTCCACCATAAAAGCCTCGTACTTCATTATGGCCCATATTTCAATCCTTTTCAAGAACTCCCTCATTCCTTCATCATTCTGTCTCCACATCTAATCATTTCTCCACCATAAAAACCCCACCTTTCTAGATTCACATCCATCTCACATACTCCCAAGAATGGCTAAAAAGAAATCTAATAAAAATACAAAGACTCCAAGCGAAAATGTGCTCTTAGAGTGAAATTCTTGCATTTTTATTTTGAAGAATATGTATATAGGAAGCTTGAACATATTCTGCATTTTTATTTTGAAGAATATGTATATAGGAAGCTTGAACATATTCTAAACTGAAGGAAAAGTATGAAAACTGAAGGAAGGCAACTATTGATTCAATTCAGCAATGAATGAAAATGTGTGTTGTGTTTGCATTGTTGTGTATCCTGCAACCGGATCAGAGAACCTTGAATGAGATTTAAAATTACGAAACAAAATGTAAAATAGGGTGGTTTTTGGTAAGCAGTGGTCACTTCAAATCCATGGTGGTCCAATGTTCGGTACGTCCTCAACCATCCTATGTGCCAGTGATCTAGATCAACTGCTGTGATTACAAGTTTGGTACGAACTCAACCATCCTATGTGTCAGTGCTCTTAGATCAATGAGAGTGATTAGATCATTGCCTTAAAGATTATCTGATTCCCACCCAAAAGGGCAGGAAACTTTTATCAACAATATGAAGTGATATATTTAAGCTACATAGGAATTATTTGGAATAGTTTTTTATTTTCAGATTCTAACAATTAATGATTATTAGCCCAAAAAAAGGTAAATCCAAATCACGAGTGATAAAGACCCTTATTGATGATTAAAATAACATGGTTACTTGAAAATGATACCAATCCTTTTACTGGCAATGGGAAAAAATACCTCCTAAACAAGTTACAACTATTGCTACTTGCCAATAACATGAAAATGCACCAACTAGCTTTTTAATAATCCCAGGTTTCACCATGACTCCTATGACTTCAACTTTCAACAGAGTTGTACATGTCAATTCATAATTTCTTATGCATTTCCATACTAAGAAAATGGGATCAACCCTTATGGTTTTATCAGCAGAAAAAGTTCCACCTCTATCTTTATTCTTTAATAGCAGAGAAGGTAGGAATTGCTTCCTCAGTGTTGGGTAGAAATTTAAAGACATAATACAAAAACATGTTGTGGTAGTCAGCATCTTGCAATAATTTCTTCATTAAAATAGAAATGAAAAGAATATGTACAGTAATAGTTGTGAAACCATCTGTTACATGTTGACCAGGCCAACAAAAGCCAAACACAGTAATGGTTTCTTTCTCAAGACAACCAATGAAAATAAAGATCAAGAGAAGCTCTAAGAACTAAAATGTTGCAATGTTGGCTTTGATTTAGAATTAGGATTTTCTATTCACAATAATTAATGGGGTTTGCCAGAAGAAATGGAAAATACTTTTCGCATACTAATAATGAGAGCCAAAGTAACCTAGTAAGCTGTTCAACGACCTAGCTATTTTATCATACAGATACCCTTTTACCAAGAGTTGATTATTCGTAAACCAAGCTGTTACACATTTCATATACTATATCTTTCTTTTATTTTTCCTAGCATATCCTACCATACATATACTTCCATAATTCCCCCCAAGTTAAAGCTTCAACGGAAAGTAAGAAATAACTTTACCTCTGAAAAAGCACAGGCTCGAACTATATGCTTGTGCTCAAATGAGTGCAAGACATCACCGGTTAGTGCATCCCACACTTTCCTAACTTTCCTGCATATAAAGGCCATTTTACAGGATATGTCAACCTTTTTTTCAATAAATAACTCCGTAAGTGCAAAAATATGAAGAACTTTAGACAAGCCACTTGAGGTGTTCGAAGACATTTGATATTAAACACAAAATCTGCATATAAAAGTATACAACTAAGAAACCGACTAAAAAATAATTCAACAACTTCCGGATTACAACAACAGCAATATTGTGATTTGTGATAGAAGACAATCAAGAACGAAAAAACATACGCAGAAAAGTCAGCAGAAGAAGAAGCAGCACGCAAAGCGTTTGTGTCCAAGCAAACACTCCACACTGCACCCTTGTGTCCTTCAAATGTTCCTATCCAATCTCCTGTTTCTCCATTCCTCAGCATGGGACTGGAATCTAAACCAGACAATTAAAACCCCATTCATATAAGCATAAGATCAATAATAATTATCCCTCCACAGAAGTGCACATCATTCCTAGTTCTATGGAAAAATACGGTCTTAGCATTGATAATATATACCCCATATGTATATGAAGGCTTATAAAATGAAATCTTATCAATGAAATATATACCATAAGTAAGCCTAAACATAGATGAGAACAAGCAATTTTAAGATAAATCGATTACAGTTTAAAAATCGCAACTTCTCAAAGTAAACAGAGAAAAATATGGAGAGAGAAAAAAAAGCGATAGTCTTGGACCAAATTAATAGTAATTACCATTGTTGGCACTGATGAGAAAAAAACCATCTAAACCTGATTTATAATCAGACTTTATCAAAGGGGGAATAGGTAAAGCTGATCAAATTATACATATTAAAAGAGCAAAGAAATCAACCAAGATTTAAAACCCTCGGATAAAACATTAAAAATTGTAAAATGCGACCATAATATTTAAAAAATGCAAACAACTTCCAAAAGTAAATACAATCGAAATTGGAAAAAAAATAATCAGATTGAATGAACGATAAAGATCTAGAGTAAAGATGGGGAGGGAAATCGGAATCAGGCATACCTTGATCCGACACCGTGGATTTGAATGTTTTGAAGACGAAACAAAGGGAAGAGAGTTTTGGGAGAGGGGAGATCAAAAAATGGGGGGATAAAGGGAGAAAGGAAGGAACCGGAAGATTGTGGAAGGAGTGAGAGAGAGTGCGCTAGCGTAGGAAATTCGAAGTCTCAATTTCCCTGTTGCTTCAGTTGCTTTTGGTGTTGTACAAATAAGAATTTTAGATTTACCCTTCTTTTATTTTCTTATTTAGTGGTTCTTTTAAAGTTGCCTAAGGTACAATTATGTTGCGGCGTTTGTTGAAACAAACGCCACTAAAGATTATATTTATTGCGGCGTTTTTCTATAAACGCCGCTAAAGTACTACTCTATTGCGGCGTTTGTTGAAAAATGTCACTACAGATGAACCCTATTGCGGCATTTGTATAAAAAACACTGCAAATGACTACTCTATTGCGGCATTTGTTGAAAAATGCCGCTATAGATGAACTCTATTACGGCGTTTATTTAAAAACGCCGCTAAAGTACTACTCTATCCACCTCATTTCCTGAGATGAAATTAGAGATTGAGAAGCGGGAAGAAGAGTTGGAGCCACGAGAGGACCAGTAAATTGGGGAAGAGAATGAGAAAAGGCGTATTGAATTAGAGTTTTGAATTAGAGAACGGTGGGAATGAAAAATAGGTGGGAGAAAAAAATGGAAAAGGGTTAAAGGGGCGTGGGACTTAGAAATTGTAAAATTACGGCGTTTGGAAATACAAACGCCACTAAAGTACGAGTCATTAGCGACGTTTGTATTCAAAACGCCACAAAAGTACAAGTCTATAGCGGTGTTTGCATTCAAAACGCCACTAAAGTACGAGTCTATAGCGGCGTTTGTATAAAAATGCCACTAAAGTACTACTCTATAGCGGCGTTTATATAAAAACGCTACTAAAGTACGAGTATTTAGCGGCGTTTGCATTCAAAACGCCACTAAAGTACGAGTTTATAGCGGCGTTTGGATTCAAAACGCCACTAAAGTATGAGTATATAGTGGCGTTTGTATAGAAACGCCACTAAAGTACTAGTATATAGCGGCGTTTGTATAAAAACGCCACTAAAGTATGATTCTATAGCGGCGTTTATATAAAAATGGCACTAAAGTACGTACCTATAGCGGCGTTTATTGGAAAAACGCCGCTATAAATGACAATATACAACCATTTTACGGCATTTGTTTCAAAAACGCCACTAAAGTATTACTCGTTCGCGGCGTTTTTGGATACAAACGCCACAAAATGTCAGATCTATAGCGGTGTTTCTGGATACAGACGCCGCTAATTACCTTTTATTTAGATAATATTAGTTGATTTTACATATTTCATTTCTACTGTACATCAACTAAATTGATTGATATATGTATAAACAGTATATGGAGAAACATTAGTTGATTTTACATATTAACAACAACCATACATTTTAATTAAGACATAAGTTATGCATAAAAATACATTACAATTTAGAAACATTAAAGTTATGCATAAACAGTCTTCACCATATTGTTCAGTAGAATTTAGTTGTGCTCATTCGTGGGGAAAGAACGTAGGAAAGCTGTTTTCCTTGTTTGACGACGTATCGTTAAGTTTTTCCTCTGTGTAAACTCTATATGGAGAAACTCTTCATCCATTTCACCAAATAAATCTCCTACCTCCGGTTCACCAAGAAGAGTCCTTGCGCGCTTCAGTGCTTCACTTGAAACAGATAACGACCGTTCACCTACAGTATGAAACTTGATTGTAGGTGGCTTGCGAACTAAATAAAAATTAAAATAAATTTAAATAGATGATATAAATGTTTACTTGGAGTAACAGTAGAGGCAACTTCATCTTCATTGAGGATAGATACTGCTTTTGTAATTGAAGATTCTTTCAACGCCACAGAGTTACCAAATTCAGTTCTAAACATCGGGTATTTATCCACTCCTCTATCATCGTTCTCAATAAGCTTCGAAGGTCCTATATGCATACAATCTATGAAATTTGACTGAGCGTAGAAAAACAAATTATAGCGGCTGAAAGATTCATAGATTATTACCTTCAAGAAGGAGATCGACCATGGAAGGGTATGGAGCAATAGAAGTTCCTTTCGGGTCATCATCCAGTTTCGATGGCGAGACCGGACCAATATCCTCCCAACGATAATTTGATCCATCATCAGAGCAAATACGCCACTTAGACATTCTGTCGACGATAATTTCTCTTACTCAAGGCAACACCTGCTCTCCTTTTCTCAAATACGTTAGCTTTTTGGGTTTTCCCCATTTTCAGAAGACCAAAAAAATGAAAAAGATCATTAATGATAAGAGGGATCAAACCGTGCAGTTGTGTTATAGTTCATCGGTAAGAGGCACAATTTGGTCGCCGGGATATACAAACGACGACATCGGTAGGAATCGTTTGAGATCTATTGTTGTTCCAGAGAAGAAGCTTTGAGGGAAGAAGAGTTTAAATGATTTTAGGGTTCAGGCAGGAGAAAAGAAGGACTATATATTTAACATTTTGCGGCGCTTATACAAAAAATGCCACTATTGATTGCACTATTGTGGCGTTTGTTAAAAAACGCCACTATTGATTAAAACTATTGCAGCGTTTTTCTAAAAACGCCACTATTGATTAATACTATTGCGGCGTTTGTCTAAAAACGCCACTATTTATTATCACTATTACGGCGTTTTAAGAATAAATGCCACTATATGTGTAATCTATTACGGCGTTTGTGGTATAAACGCCGCTAATTTACCGATCTATTGCGGCGTTTTGGCTAAAACGCCACTATATGTTAATCTATTACGGCGTTTGTGGTATAAACGCCGCTAATTTACCACTCTATTGCGGCGTTTGTTAAAAAACATCGCAATAAACCACCCTATTGCGGCGTTTGTTGTAAAAACGCCGCTATATGTCAACTCTATTGCATTGTTTTTACAACAAACGCCGCTAAAGTATCAATTTGTGGCGCTACGATTATAAACGCTGCTATGTGTTTAAATTTTATGACGTTTTCTCTCCAAACGCCGCTAAAAATGCCGCTACATATCAGTTTTGCTATAGTGACTCCACATTCTCTGAACTTATAATGTCTAAATTAACAATATCATATTAGTTAAATATTAACTTTAAAGAGATCATTTACCATGACTAAAAGTCTTATCTTAATAGGATTATCAAATTTTCATTTTTAACCTCTTCTCTAAGTAAAAAAATATGTAAACTAGTCATAGTATTTTATATATTGAAATAGTGAGCATAGAAATGAAAAATGCATCAGGTAAGTCTCTAGAAAAAGAGAGGTGGTGCACTAGGCACGCTTAAGTACCAAGTTTTTTTTCCAGAATCAATCCTGGACATACATTCTCACTCTATCACACTACTTTTCAATTAATCATTTATAAAAGATCTCATTACAATTTATGTTTAATATTTTCTCATGTATAAGCATACAATAGCTAGAAACAAATAATTTTCATGTGGTAACAAACAGATAAGAATGTAATAATTCTAAATAATCTAACTTCGTATATTAAAACATAACAATCAAGTAGACTTATTCTTCCTTAACACGTCTTTAGCTCATGTCCTCTCATCAACTTTGATTAGAGTGACTATAATTTGTCACATCGTTTACTTCTTTGAGTTACCACATCTTTTAAATATGTAGATTCTAAATTTAAAGAAAAAATCAACAAAATTAATATCAATAAATGAAATAAATTTCATAAAAGGAAAATAATGGAAAGATAAGTTTCTTATTTTTATTCCTTTATTCTTATCAAATTGCAATATTACTCATGAATTTAGATATGCAACACTTCAAAATTTAATCTTTAAATTCTTCTTGTGATACAATTTTTTCGATCTCGCCTCCTATTATTTTCCTTAAAATCATACTTAAATTTATTAGTTGAGTTTTCAATTCCATTTTATGGTATTCTTCACTAGATTCGTCCCCTAAAAATTAGGGATGACACAAAGATGATTTCTCCTCGTTGTTTAAAAACATTGTTCGTTTACTTCGAATAGGATTGGTCACGGGTCACCCAACACTCAAATAACCTGCTAACTATGACTAATAATCATTTATTTTCCCTTGTCATAGCATTAAATATATGTGCACGTGGTCATTTCAAAAGCAACAATCCCACATTAACCAAATTAGTAAAAGCAAAAAAAATAAATAAATAATTGAAGTGAGACCAACGGCCCACGTTTCTCCAACAGTTCCAGATAGGATTGGCATGGGAGCCAAACCGACGGGTTTCGATCGGGTCAGATTTAAAAAAAAAAAATCGGGTTCAGGTCGAGTCGGGTCAAGTTTTTTAAAGGTGATGTTTGGATTGGGTTAGATTTGGGTTTAGGGTGAAAAATACCGATCCGACCCGAAAAAAATATAATTTTACCTAATATATTTAAGAATAATTACAATAATACCCCTCCATATATTATTTTTTTCAATTAAATCACTGTTTTTAATAAAAATAATATTTTTTATTATTTCGGGTAGGGTTGGATCATGTTTGGATTTTATCTGAAAAAATATGGTCGGATTCGGATTGGGTGGAGAGTATATATTTTTCCGATCGGATTAGGTGAATGATGTAAAATTTTCGAGTCGGGTCGGGTTGGCCGAAACCCGACCTAAACCCAACCCATGCCCATTCCTAGTTCCAGACTATTATGTCTCCTGTATCACCATCCACGTGACTGAATGAATTCTAAAAACATAACAAAAGAAAACAAAATCAGTAATGGTAGCCAAACAACAACCCAGCAATGCTCTTCGACAACAGAGTCGTACGGTGAAAACTAGTGCAATGAAGACATTTGTCAAGCTGACATCAAAGCCGCTCAAGCTATTGTCGACACCGTTCAAACCGTAGTAGGTTTCGAAGGTATGAAAAAGAAAATAATAATAGTCTCAGCTTTCATGGTTGTCACTTTCATGGTTAGCAGCACATTTGCCACTTTTCTCATAATACTCAGCTCAACCACAATGTTAATTGAGCTATTGCGCGCTATATCATGTTTCAACAGCAGCGTCATTGCTTATAAATGGTTGGAAAACAATATTGCTGCAAAACAATTTTGTTAAGATTCACTAGCAAATAATAATCAAATAAAGGAGATAAAACGACTGTGTCGTGGTATGGAATCCACTGCCATAAAAGCAACTTCGTCCCAATTGGTGTAATCTCAAAAGTGAACGTTGCCCCTCAAGGTTAATACAGTCTTTCAAACTCCGTACACCTAAAGTAAGAAAGTAAAACACATTTGTGATGTTCTCTTCGACAATAAATTTCCAAAATAAAAATACCAAAATCATTAATTGTATATCCAATTAGGGAGAGAGACCATCCTTTTATAGGAGTGGTAAAGGGGCAAAATTGTTAATTGAAATTTATCCACTTTAACCCATGCCTAAAAAAAGTAACCAATTCCCTAAAACAATATTTACTTAACTAACAAGAGATAAAAAATTTAATTTATTTATTTGAAATTTTATTAACATAAAACATTAATAAATTAATTATATCACAATCAAATATAAATAAAATAAATCATATAATCACATTCTTATATTGTTTGTTGACGTTTGTGCAGTAATAAATTAACTCAAGGCTTAACAATATAATTGGATCGAATCAATGATATTGGGCTTACCCCTAGAAATGTATCGTACAATAATATGCATCATAAAAATATTAGGATAAATTATATAAATGGTCCTCGAAATGCGAGTGTTTTTTAATATTAAAAATTTAAAATAATAATTAATTTTTTTATTTTATAATAAATTGATTAATCCGTTGGTAACGATCACTATTCGAATCACGAAAATTTAATGTGACATATTTAAGTGGTTAAGTTGATCTTAATTTAGAAAAGACGTAAACTGAAGAACATCACCGACAGTGAAGCGAAATATCATTCACTTCCTCCATTGCCAGAAACTAAAATAACTTGCAATAAATCCATGCACATTTCATATGTGAATGTACGCATTAATCCAATAACATCTTTCTCCATTTTATATCTGTTTGTCTCACCCTAACAATATTGTCGTCTTTACGGATTGAGCTGAATAAACTGAATTGGAGGGTTTGAATTTATATTAGAGAAAAAAATTTCATCCTGTATTTACTTGACCCGGCACAATTAGACCGCCCTTGTATATTGTTAATAAGCTTTCTGTCCAGCGCTCTTGTGAATGTTGTCAAGTTTATGTTGTATTACATGGGGTTATTATGCAGTTGTCGGTTTACAGAGTCATACCAGACACTTTGTTCCGATGCTAAAGATAAGGGAATCTACTTTTAAATATTTGTTTAATAAATGTGCAGGACGGCAGGAGTAGCTCTATCCTATTAAAATAAATACAAGCTGATCAGAGCTCTTCCAAAATCATTTCCTTTTGGTGTTTCAAATGGTTCTTCAGTCGGCCATGGATCTACAATTCTTCTCATATGCCACCTTGTTATCTCTTTTGCCTTGTTGAAAGAAATTTTTTATAGGAAGATTCATTTATTAAAATAAAATGTAAAATATAAGTTAATTTAAATTAATCATGAAGTTTTAAAAATCTAAAAACCAATAAAAATAACTATTAAGTTAAAACAAATGATTAAAGTTGATATCAAATCAGAATTAATATCAATTATTGAAATCAATCTAATTTAAAACTAATGATAAAAATTAATTTCAAGTGAAAATCAATGATCGAAATCAGTTTCAAATTAAAATCCATGGTTAAAATTAATTTCAAGTTGTTGGAATCTAAAAAACTTCTTTTATTATTGATGAAAAAGGTGTTGCGGAAGACGGCTATCGGATAGAGTAAAATCGCAACTGATAATTTGAGAAAATAAAAATGAAGATAAAAGAGACACAAAATTTACGTGAAAAACCCCTAAATAATATAGGGTAAAAACCACGGGCAACGGTAGAAGAATTTCACTATGAGAAAATAGGAATCACAACTTCTCTCTATCTACCAAGGAGAAAACAATGATAATTCTCTCTTGATAAAAAGGAGAAAAACAACTCTAAAGAAACTCTCTAAATTCTCTAGTATTGGAAGAAAGCTAGAATGCTTTGGGATGGTTTTGAAGCTAAATGAGCTAGGGTATTTATAGTTGAAACTTAAGGACTAATCTTGTAAATACCCTAGAGTCTAATGACTAAAGTTTGTGATTTGCCCATACAAAAAATCAATAAAATTTGCAGCCATTTTGGACTAGAATTAGCCGCCCATTTGCCATTCCCCATTTGCCATTTTTGACCAAAGAATTCTGCAGCCACCAAATTTGACATTTGATTTTTAACAATCTCCCACTTGAAGATTTGATTGGAACAATCATATCTTCACACCATTCTTTCTACCATGTACCTTCATGTTGCTTACGTCTCTGACAGGCCACAAGAAGATCGACACCAGGTAAATTTATCAGCGTTGATTGCCTTCGTCATGAAATCTGCTATGTTGTCTTTGGTATGGATCTTCTGCATATCTGATGTCCCTTCTTCCACCTTTTCACGAATGGAATGGTACTGAACTCGTATGTGTTTTGTCCTTGAATGAAATGCTGGATTCCTTGCTAGATGCAAGGCGCTTTGACTGTCACAAAACAGAGAGACATACTCTTGATTGTGCCCAAGCTCCTCCAATAGCATCTTCAACCAAATTGCTTCTTTACTGGCTTGTGTAGCTGCTACATATTCTGCCTCTGTTGTGGATGTAGCCACAATTGACTGTAATTTTGAAACCCAGCTTACAGCTCCACCAGCAACTTTGAACACATATCCTGTAGTAGATTTGTTTTTATCCAAATCCCCTGCATAGTCAGAATCTACATACCCATTGATTAGTAAGTTTGATCCTCCATAACATAATGCAATATTTGAGGTCCCTTTGATGTATCTCAAGATCCTCTTTACTGTATTCCAATGCTCTTTGCATGGATTCGCCATGTATCGACTAACCACTCACACTGCTTGTGCAATGTCTGGTCTTGTGCATATCATAGCAAACACTAAACTTCTCACTGCTGATGCATACGGTACTCGAGACATCTCCATCCCCTCTTCTTCACTGCTAGGACTCATACTGGAGGATAATTTGAAGTTAATAGGAAGAGGGGTAGAAATTGGCTTACAATCTTGCATGCTAAATCGTGACAAGATTTTCTTCAAGTAATTCTTTTGTGAAAGCCAAATCTTCCTATTACTTCTGTCTCGGTGAATTTACATCCCTAAAATCTTTTTTGCTGATCCCAAGTCCTTCATTTCAAATTCCCTAGCCAGTTGTGCCTTCAATTCTTCAATATGATCTTTGTTGGGTTATGCAACCAACATGTCATCCACATACAACAGCAATATAACAAAATCGTTATCACCAAACCTCTTGAAATAAGCACAAGGGTCTGCATTAAGTCTGTTGTATCCAAGGCACATAATGAGGAATCAAATCTCTTATACCAACACCTCGGCGCCTGCTTTAGACCGTACAGAGATTTGTTCAACCTGCAAACCAAGTTCTTCTTTTCGTCTTCTTCAAAACCTTCAGGTTGGAGCATATAAATCTCTTCTTCAAGATTTCCATGAAGAAAAGCTGTTTTAACATCTAGTTGCTCTAGATGTAAGTTCAATGTAGCACACATTGCCATAACTACTCGAACTGTTGTTAATCGAACCACAGGAGAAAATATTTCATTGAAATCAATACCTTCCTTTTGAGCATATCCTTTGACCACCAGTCTTGCATGATACCTCTCAACTTGATCATCACCATTTTGCTTGATTTTGAAGACCCATTTGTTACCAATTGGCTTCCTTCCTTGTGGTAGTGGCACAAGGTCCCATGTATTATTTTTATGAAGGGCTTCAATTTCTTCTTGCATCGCCATCATCCACAGTGAAGCATCTGAGTTGTTTATTGCCTCCTGGTATGTTGATGGCTCACCGTCCTCTGTTAAAAGGCAATATGCAATATTACCTTCTATAACATAATCTGAGTGCCAATTGGGACGTCTTCTAACACGATCTGATTGACGAGTTGTTGGAGCTTTAGAACTCTCTGGTTATTGTTCATCATGTGCTGGTTCTGCTTCAAAAGAATCTCCTTGTTCAACCTCATTTTCCACATATATATGTATAGTCTCTGACTTTTCAGCGCTATCATCGTCTTCTTTTCTTTGTAGTTTATCCTCTACAAAGATAACATCCCTACTGATGATCACTTTGCGGGTAGTGGGATCCCACAGCGATACCCCTTTACACCATCAACATATCCCAAGAATTTGCATTTCCTGGATTTTGAATCCAGCTTTGAAATTTCTTGGGCGTTGTACATCACGTACACAATACTTCCAAATACATGGAGGTTTGAATAATCAGCTGGTTTACCAGTCCATATCTCTATTGGTGTCTTCAGCTCTATTGCAGTTGATGGAGCTCGATTCACCAAATAACAGGCAGTATTGAATGCTTCTGCCCAGAATGATTTTTCTAGGCCTGCATCCCTCAATATTGTTCTTGTTCTTTCTAGCAAGGTTCTGTTCATCCGCTCTGCCACTCCATTTTGTTGAGGAGTGTTCGCCACTGTGAACTGTCTTTTGATTCCTTCTTTCTTGCAAAAGTCATCAAATTTTTCGCTTGTGTATTCTCCTCCATTATATGTCCTAAAACACTTTATCTTATTTCCAGAATCAAGTTCCACCCGCGCTTTGAAGTTTTTGAAAGTTGAAAACACATCTGACTTCTTTTTAATAGGGTACACCCAACATCTCCTGGAGTAATCATCAATAAATGAGACAAAGTATTTTGCTCCACCTAGGGATGTAACTGGTGCTTGCCATACGTCAGAGTGAACCAATTCTAGAACACTTTTGCCTCTAGAATTTGATGTGTTGAATTTCAACCGGTGCTGCTTACTTGTTATGCAATGGTCACACAAAGGAAGTGTTACCTTTGTTAAGCCTGGAAGTAGGTTTTGTTCCACAAGGACTTTCATTCCTTGTTCTGACATGTGTCCAAGTTTCTGATTC